AAGTCTACCTTTGGGCCTATCCCTCCTTCCCACTTGTGGGTCATAACCCATCATTCCGTTAAACCCACAACCCGACTCGTTGGTAATATTCAGTTGGCTAACATCTATCCCTGTTAGCTCCGCTCCACTCGGTCCCACTATTCATGGGCCCGCCCTTGCTGTAACTATATATATACTTAACTTGTACATAGGTTACACTCCAGTGATAAAATCGACTAGAGTTGATCCCCCTTTTAGTTCTCATTGCCAGTAAGTAAATTAGGGCATGGATGTGTAACTTGGCACAGCCAGCAGTAGGGCAGGACTCCGGAGGTGGTGAAGAAGGAGGTCCGGGAGTCGGGTCAGAATCGGATATGCATGGATATGACAGAGGGTGAAAGCACGAGGAAACAAAGAGGGTCCGAATCGGAACAAAGGCATCTGAACAGGACAAAGGGAAGACAAAAGTGGAGCGGCACTGAAGGTCATTGTCATGACCATGCACTCTGACCTGGATGCTGGCCCCTTTTTGTTTTATTTGTCACCTGACCCATTCAGTTTCCTTACTATATATACTTGTATATTACATCATCATAACTTTAGTCTGAATATCAACTTGGTTTTCACCCCCTCAACAAGGCAGCCTCAAGTCACCTCGAAATGTGGGCACTGAGATAGTAGGTGGGCACAGCGCTCCTTCAGAGTCGCTGAGGCCGAAGCCCAACCCCCCAGGGCCTTGTTCCTTGAGCCGCCGACCCCATACCTAACTGAAAGGTTTGCTCACTATTTTGGGGACGGTACATTCCGTTCCCCCATTCGCCTCAGGCCTCAGGTAGTCCGTCTAAATATAAGCTTTAATGTGCTGTATATTCAACGGGGTAGAGGTAAAAGGCTTCCGGGCCTTTACAACTACTCCGAGGTATATATATGTAATTTACATATCTTGGCGCAAATAAATAAAGAAATAATAGCATCACTATAATCGGAATTATAGTGAAGTAAGGTTAATCCCTTACACTAACAGTCATAGGTTTAGAACCTGTGGTACATCCGAAAGGAGATAGGGAGGGCGAAGCCCAGAGGGGCAGGAAGATGAGGCAAAGTGGGGATGATGACTAACTGGCTAGAATGGGAAGAAGCAGCAGTCCAAATAAGGATGAGGGGAAAGCGCAAAAGATACATTACAAACGGTGATAGTGCCGGGTATGATCCATGGAGCTCAGAGGTTGTGGAGCTTACAGAGGTTATGGAGGCAGGGTTGAAAGTCCGAGGAATGTTGGCAATGGCGTTTATGTAGTATGAGGTCACCAATGCAATGGACTTAAGCCGAGGTGGAGTCAAAGTCCAAGGTTGGAACTATGATGGAATCTCGGAGCAAAGGTACGAGTGGTGTCCGAGTACAGGGTATGGGACAGCGGTGGGGGTCGTAACTTGCTGGAGGTTTGGCAGAAGAGGGTCAGAGGGAGGAGAGAGAAGAGAGGAGCAGGGAGAGGAGTGGAGGAGAGGAAAGGTGTCAGGTCCAAAGGTGAGTATCTGTCAGGGACGCGTCCGGGGTCGAGAGGGCCCGGGGGTAATGCCCGGCACTGAGGCCGTCGTGGGGTGTGGGGCAGGTGTGTGTACTGGCGGGCCTGATCCGGGACAGTGGTCCCTGGCCACTCAGACTGAAGTGGAGAATGTGAGAAGAAGGTTACTTCTTCGGTTCCCACTTCAGGTACATTTATGTACATGCAGCTTGAGTCACATGACGAGTGCCATGTCATCCTCGGAGGCAGCCGCAGGCATCCAGGTGTCCCCGTGGGGGATCCCAAGAGCATCCGCTGCATGCACGCGTGCTGGGCACAGCAGGAAGCCATCCAGGGTGTGTGGGCCGGACGGGTCAATAGTACATCGATACAAAGGAAGGTGGTCTGTGTAGATAGAAAGAAATAAACAGGAAGAGGAAGATGAGAAGAATGAAATAAAGAAAGGGGAAGGAAGAGGGAAAAGAAGGGGGAGGAGAGGGAGGGGGATAGACAGCGGGGAGCGGGTGTGGTGTGGCCGGGTGGGTCCAGGTGGACCCAGGTCAGGTGGGTGTGCCCTGACAGTATCGGAGTGGACGGAAGTAGGGTAGGAGAGTGACGGAAGGGTGGAGGTGTCGTGAGGAGTAAGAGGAGGAGGGTGGCAAGAGGAGTGATGTTCAGTCTGAGGTGAGTATTGGAGCAGACAGAGATAGGGTAGGACTCCAGAGGTGGTGAAGATGGGGGTCCGGGAGTCAGATCGGGATCGGGTATGTATGGATATGACATCGTGAAACTGTGTTCCAAGTCCCAACAAAAACCTAGAGAGTGTGAATATACAATGTAAAGTATGTACTGAGCGCTCGATCAGAAAAATCGATGCATTATAAAATGAGCATGTAAACAGACCAGTTATGGTGCCTCAGATAGCAGATCCTGGCGACTCTACAGATCGTGCATTATAGCATTTTACAATATCCTGGAGTAGTGCCTTCCGGGGCCCAACTTGTACCTTATTGACTGCTGTTCAATTAGGAATAAAGGTGTCCTTAGGGGCCAGCCAACAATGCTTGTTGATCTGTTCAATTAGTTTTTCCCCCATCATTGCAGCAATCACTGCAGCACCCAACTGGAGTATAGTACACTCTAGTTTCTCCTCCACTCTCTTCTTCTCATCTCGTGCCTTCTGGGCTTCATGGCTGGCAGTGGCTTTTGCTGCCTCAACTTTGGCCATAGTTTCCTCTCAAGATTCTGTGTGTTCTCGATGCTGAGCTTCCTTCCTGAGAAATGGATGATGGGCTTCACTGAAATTTGCCCTTATGAAGCCCTCAGTGTTGTTACGGCTATACATCGCCAATGAATTAAATGGGCAGTTGATTTTGATTGTTTTGTATGCAACAAATTTTCCGTAATACTAATACCAATCACTGACAATGTAAAAGGGTATAAGGAGCATGGTAGGAAGTTGTTCCAAAGTCAGAAGAGCATCAATTGAGCTGAGTGTGCCCCAGGCATCTCCAGAATGCGCTATTGAGTGCGATGATGTACAGACGAATAAACAAATGATCACCCAACAATTTCAGGCTTGTCACACAGCAGCTAAGCATGTAGAAATTCTCCTGGATGTGTAGAGGGTCTTTTTCTATAATTCGGACTGTTGGATTTTTGTAAAACGCTCTGGTTGTCGAGAACGGTTGTAGAGCCATGAGAATTCATTTTTTTTACAATTCCTCAGTCCAATTATCAGCTTTTACAATTCCAAGTAACTTTTGATTCAACTTTTTGTTGCATGAGACATTTGTGATGAGTTATAAAACTATACTTCCACAGGCTGCTCTGTGGCCAGTCTAGCTTACATAAGCAGTCCCATGGGCAAGCTTCGCTTACTGTCATGCTCCAACCCATGCAGTTGTTGGTCATGTGAGTACAGTATTTTTGCTTTCGGCACATGATCTTTGCGGGACGTGCTGAGGGAATCACTGCGTTTAGAGCAAAATTATCCTGTGTACAATTTCCATGCTGAATAATACAGAAGCAGTGTTATCCTGAGCTATCCCCTGAGAAATCCCAGGCTTCTGAGCAGGTGCAGGTTGAACTTATGAGACGTGCAAAATCACAACCAAGTATTTGCCCAGAATACAACAGGGCTGTGCACCTGCGTGCTATATTCTCTGTTCTGTCCCTCGTTTCTGCAGTATCCTGTACCAAGCGCTGACATTTTATGGCGGAATTATTTAATCACTGCCTCATTGCAGATCACTCACTGGTTTTTTTTCCCCCTAAGTCCCTCATTTTCTCTGCACAGTGTCAAAGCGCCCTCCGGCAAAGGTGAAGGAAGATGTTCAGCCTCTGGCTTTTTCACATTACAGCTGATCACATCATGTAGTACCTTTCACACTGGATCCTGGGCACCCATGGCTGGCCCACAGCTCGTCCACTGGCTGGCCACTTGTCCTTTGCTTGGCGCTTCTGTTGCTTGGCTGAGCTAGTGTTTGCAGTAGCACTGGTAGTATTTGCCTTCACTCATTGAAACACTCATTCTAATCGCCCTGCCATAGTTGCACTTTTTCGTCTACCTGTTGGACAAGGTCCTTGACCAACTCCTCGAAAAATTCCTGAGGGAGTGAAGGTCCGCGTGGCACAGAGCTATTAACCAGACCTGCATCCTGGAAGTGAGTACCAGCGCTTGCAAGACTTTGACTCATGGAATAGTACTGTTGCGTCGCGATGTTGTGTGTAGCGGGGGTCGGAATGCATGAGAGTATATCACGTAAGTGCTGATTTCTCAATGGTTTGAGATGACTTACCAGGTGAATTCTGGTCGTAGGTATGTCCTCCAATATTTTGATGATGATTTGCGTGAGTTGGAGCAGTGTTTGGGATACCTAAGATGCGTGCACTAAGGAATTTTCACGGTCTTTTTATCTGTTAACACTCACCGATGTTTAGTCCATAATAACCTGATCCTGTCCATGGAAGCGGCAATGGAGATGAGGAAAGTGCGGCATGTGCTTGTATTGGTTACGTGTACGGTGTCTGTACAGATCAAGCTGTAGCAAGGGTGAGGTGGATGGGCTCCTAGTACTGCTGTTTGATGTATTTATCGCTCAGTTGTTCTGTATGTACTCTAGCCTCCAACAGGAGGCACGGGAATAATAATATTTGAATAATTAATAATTGTGTCAGGTTCGTTTCGGACTCTTATTCCGAGTCTGTAATATTCAGAGAAGTGTTCAGTCACGGTTACTACCAGACGTGGCTGTTGCCCCACTAAATCCGGTCTGTGCTATCACTGTGCTATCCTCTGTCAAAGTATGTGGGGTTTTCAGAAATATTCTGCGCTTGTGCTGCGATCACTAAGTGTGCAATATAACAGAGAATAATACAGATATTCTCTGTACTATTCGGCTACGAATAATCTTCTCTTAAACGCAGTGAATGTTTTAGGGTTAGTGGGGGGTCGTAACCTTGGTTGCCGACCCCCAATGTCTGCAAAGTGTACAACAAGCAAAGGACAACATTCAAATGCACATTCTTTGTACTCCAACCGTCTGGACGTGCATCGCGCAATTACCCAACTTGAAAGCAGTCCACTCACCATTATTCCAGGGGAGATTCAACAACTATGCATTCGATTCCTCGGCCTGGCATGGTATCGGACCCCCCACATTAGACACTCCATTCCCATCTCTTCGCGCTATCGAGATGGCAGTCCCGTCTCAGTTAGCAGCCATCGTCCTGGGGTATTATCCCTTAGATGGCGTACGTTCTCTCGGACTGCTACTGATTGACTATAAGTACAATCCACCAACAGAGCAGTCGCTAATCCAAATAGTCACAACGTGCAAATGCTTGCATCGATTACTCCTCATCACCCCTCATTTCAGGCTCCCTGTACTGAAATTGCCTCTGTCTCCTGAGCTCACTCATTTGGTGGTCTGCACTGACGGCGTTGAGACGATTGACAATGCCGACTTGATGTATATATGCTCTAAGATGCCCAACCTTGAAGTTTTGGATTTAATCCCGACACAAGTCTGTAGAAATCATCCTCCGGGCCTAACGCTGGAAGTCATACGATCGATCGCAGGGATATGCCCTCGTCTTGAGCGCGCTTCGTTGTACATTGATATGGACATCTCGGGTATCCAATTTTCCTTCGATGACCCTCCTTTTCCTTTGAATCATCCACTTTCCACTCTATACTTTACGCCATCCCAGGTCCTGAACCGTACTGAGGTGGCAATGTATTTGTGCACTTTGTTTCAGGACCCTCAACGTGCACCGGCGATTAAGGCACCGAAAGTTAGTTTCCGTCAACAGCTCGGATGCTGGGATGGGCCACATTTCCATTCCACTGAGCAGAATCCTGAGGAGGAATGGAAGTGCGTTGGGGAGATTATGGATACGCTTAGAAGGCACGCCATCGCTTCTTTCCAGACTCGATTGGCACAGAACGATGCAGAATTGAAGGCATTACGGGAGAAACTCCGATTATATACCGCCGTGGAGCACCTAATGAAGGGACTTCCTGGCGTTTGAATCCTCTTCGGTGGTTACAACGATACACGGAACTAGCGTTTTGGGGTGGAGATGAAGCTTTTAGGTTCTCCTTGTACTTACTCAAAGCACTCTGACCCACAATGCCATAAGCCGTGGGATTCAGGCTGTTCGCTATAGTGTTCGTGTTGCTTCACCCAACCCTGCACAGTACCGGTGCACCAACAGCACCCACTACAACAGGGCGAACATCATTGGACTGATCATAAAGAAAAGGACGAAACAAGACGGACGGTTGGGAGGGGAGTGTATGGGGGAGACATTTGGATGTGTCCCAAACTCCGACCAACTGAAGGAGGGGGAATCGCGCTTCGAATTTGGGTTGTACCTGGGAAACGATGTTATTTGACTCGTGGCCAGAACAGCACTGAGGAAGACTGGAGTGAATGCTTTGGATGAATTGCGATCGCAGGACGAGGAAAACATCATCCAATTGCAAGCAGTTAGCAGGAGGTACTGAAGGAAGACATTGAAACACGATGAGAAGGGATACGCGAGTAGTGCTGATGCCATGTCGGGCAACCCATAGTGAGTCAGAGAATGACAGTGCGATTAACTGTTCTGAAAAATAAACGAAACTAGAGGAAGGTGGACAAATTCTTATTTACCAAGTTTTGCCCACACGCTGGACGTATCTCCAATCCAATCCAGCCTAAGAGCAACTGATCTGTCAGCAGCAGATTTGGGGTCAGAGAAACTAGTGGACTTCAAGTCCAGTCATCATAATTAACCACGAACGGATGAACGGTACTCGACTGCGATTGCTGCATCATATCTGAACTCCTATAATTCTCGGCGAGGCAGAAAGCCAGAGAATAGCTGGCATTTGCTGCATCATTTCATTGCGTGTCAGAAGATGAGCATGTGATCCAGCTCCTGAAACACCCACACCTGAGCAGCCTGAAGCTCTGCAGGTTAAATATCCAGAATAACAAAAAACACCCACAGACACCACAGAACCCGAGGATCGCCGACACCCCTCATGTACGCCAAGCCACACTATCAATAAGAGAGATTCATCATCATCATCCTCTCCTGAAACCAGCGAACGCAATGGCTCATTGGCAAATGCAAGGGATGGCCCAGTCAGGCCCTGTCCTGTCCTCTGCTTTGTCAGCAATTAACCGACCATCATCTTCTCCACACCTCATTGAGCCAAACTTCCCGGCCAGCAGCATCTCATCTACATATCCTCGATTGTGCTGCTCCATGGACTCTGGCCCATATACTACATAATCTGACTCCATGTGAATTTCATAGAACAGAGTTGCATTAATGCACGACTACTCGAATCGTGTCCCCGGGTCCGCCCTTATGATCTATTAAACACGTACATTGACTGTGACGAGAGGCGTTGTATGGCCGACCAGCTGAAATTCAACTGATATCCTGCCTGCAGCACAGTCCTGCTGGCTCCCCTTGCTGGGGCCAACGTACCGCCATGGAAAGGCCCTGTTGTCCATGTAGCCCATAGGCACCCACTTACTGATTGATTGAACCACTGGGCCCCGGTGTCGCGCTTGAATCCTGCCACTGCTTCCCATCGCTGCGTCGTTACCATACATGTGCATCACTCTGATTCACATGCCTCACCCTCCTGAATCCTACCTCTGGAACTTCAACTCCTATGCTCTCTCACCATGCTTACCACCTACAAGCCATGGTAACACGATCCTACCCGATATTTCTATTGCAACGAATCACCCACCTGGGAACGGGGAGCTGCTCTCCAGATCGAGTGTCCACGCATGGACGTTATTTAGTCTGTATTTGATCCGCCCGCAATAATAGCTCTGTTTCGCTTAGGGTTTCATATAGATGGGTTTGTCCTGAGTCCCGGTCTCTGTGAACCCACAGCTGTTGCCACAGCTAGCGTTAGGAGTCACCGCTAGTTTAGCTGCATGCTCATGACTCCACTGATGCTTGGTCACCTCGCCTCCAACTTGAAGCGAGAACTTATCCCGGCGCTGACTTGTGCTACTTAGACTGAAGCTCCAGAATGAACAGCTTTGCGAGTCATCATTGGCAGCACATGCCACATAACAAAGATCCGAATATATTGAATTAGAGAGGTGGTGACCATCGGGGGGGTCAGAGGTGATTGCGGAAACCAGAGGCTCCAAGGTTAGTGGCAGAGGAGCGGAGGTAATCTGGAAGGATCGGAGGTAGTGGAAGACAATGGCCATGGATGGATATGACACTGTAGAAGAACCGGAAGGTGTTGATGATCCTGGAGAAGTGCAGGATTATATGCCTGACGATGAAATGTTCGATGATAAACTTGTGGATGACTGTCAGGGACTTGTCTGGGGTCGAGGGGGCCTGGGTGTAGCATCCGGGGCTGAGAGCCTGGCGGGGGGTGGATCGGGCATGCATACTGACAGGCCCAATGCAGGACAGTGGTCCCTGGCCACTTAGACTGAAGTGGAAAGTTGAGAAGAAGGCTACTTCTTCGGTTCCCACTCCAGGTTCGTTTATATACATGCAGCTTAGATCACATGACAGGTGCCACATCACCCTTGCACACAGCCGTAACCACCCGGGTGTCTCCATGGGAGATCCCGAGGGCATCCAGTGCAGGCGCGCATGCTGGGCATAGCAGGAAGTCGCCCGAGGTGCCTGGGCCAGGTACATGGTGGGCATGCTGCAGATGGGTCAATGGTACATTGATACAAAGAAGGTTGTCCATGTAGAATAAAGAGAGAATAAAGAAGAAGTAAGATAGGAAGAAAGTGAGGAAGGAAGAATGAGGAGAGAGGAAGGGAAAGGGGGAGGAGGTAAGGAAGGGTGGACAGCGGGGTACCGGGTCAGGTTGGGCCGGGTGGAGCCGGGTCAGGCAGGTGTGCCCTGACAATGACCCGTACGATCCCAACCTCCTCACTGAGGCGGATGAGGAGTATGTTGAGGTGGATGCCAACATGTTCATCGGTGCTATGACGTTCATGGACCCCACAGATGAAAATTTCTCCATTAAATTAGCATCTGCTCAGCAAGCAGACAAACTGCCATCTGATGAGCAGATAGTGGCTGAGCTTGTCGACGACGCAGTAAAATCTTACAAAAGGGATGGTGTAATACTGGTCCCTAAATCTTCATCCACCAAACCGTCAACACAAAGTGTGATGAGTTCTTCAGTGCCTAACAAACTTCTGAAGAAAATCCCGCCAATATTCAACATGAAGTGTAGAACCTCATGAGAGGTGGGTAAATACCCTGAAAACCGCAGCACCGACTTAAAGCGGATGCTCACTGGCGAGGTTAACATCACCGGGGTAAATGCTTTTGTCCTATTTGATAGTGGCACTGAAACAGATGCCCTATCTCCAGATTTTGTCCGAGCAGTGCACATTCCACTGCTCAAGTTGCCAAACCCCTTGGTTCTCCAAATGGGGACCAAAAACAGTCGTTCGTGCATAATGTATGGCACAAATACTCCCGTAACCATTCATGGGGTTATGACTACTCACTACTTTGATGTCATTAACATTGACCACTATGACACCATTCTCGGAGCTCCTTGGCTGAATGCCAATGGATCATCCCTCAATTTCGAAACCCACACCATCCACATAAAGATGGGCGACATCAAAACATTTGATGTCCTAACGGAATGGGGTAAAACTTCTGTGGGGGCTGCTGCACATGGTCGCCCCAAACTTCCCTGTGCACTGAGATCTGAACTGCCACCTAAACAGACGGCATGATGCAATACGGTGAAGGCTGTAAACCCTTTGCCATGTGTACTTGCCATGTCCGCTCAAAAAGATGCAGACACCCCCCAGTGGCCCAATCACTGGCCAAGCCCGAGGTCGAAAGACCTCAGGCATCCCAACTGTTCCCATCTAGAAGGGCTGCCAATGACAGACCCTGAATTTGTGCCACTCAGGAATTGGTGGTGTGAACGTTTCAAGGACATCATGGCACCAGCCCCTGAGGTCCTACCTCCATTCAGTTAACCACCAGATCAACTTGATTGATCTGAATAAAAAATATATAGAAAGGAGGGCTACGTGCCCTCAAGCTCTTGAACCACAGCTTCGAGAGAAAATCGCTCATTATGAGTGAGCCAAGTGGTGGGAACACAAGGCAGTCATGATGGCTGCCCCACTTCTTTGCCTTGCAAAGAAGGACAGTTCTTTACGAACTGTAATTGATGCAAGAAATTGCAATGCGAACTCTATTCTCGATGTCACTGTCACGACCCGGCATATCCGTCACTTCTGTCAACGCATCCTAGTGCCACTTGGCCCGTCCCACCCGCTATCATCATCATCCATCCACCCGTCACCCTCATCCGCACTTCCTCCCCTGCGCACGTACCTTCCAACCAAGGTTGCCTGCTCGAGTAGCTCATTGTTGTCCGCCCACCAGCCAGATGGCTTGCTAGACAGCTGGATGGCCTTTTTCTCTTTTGTTCACTTGTGGACTATTGTTCCTCCTTTACCACTCATTGTTCTTGCTTGCCTTTTGTTGACCAAGTTTGCTGATATTAACTATTTGTCTCTTTCTTCATTCATTAATATCGCGCTTGATCCGCCACTCCTTCTGGGCTGGTCCTATTTAGTTACTTGTGTTTATAACATGTGTAGGTTACACCGGATGTACCTCAGTTCGTATATCGACTTGGATTTACCCCCCTTGTCTCTTCTCCTCATTGTAAGGCTTCTGTCTGAAATTGGGACAACAATGTAAGAACGAAGTGCAGCACTCCACCTGAGTCGCTGAAGCTGAAGTCCCACCCCTCCGACCTTACAAGCCCAGATGACTTTGCACGCCTTGCGGATCATCCGGATACATGTCCGACACATTCCTGACAGTCACGCCCATGCCTGACATGTGTTTCATCATGGACAGTATGGCTCAGGTTACTTATTGATCGAAAATCGATATGACAGATGCGTACGAACAGATTCATATTGAACTGGACTGCATACAATACACTGGGATGAGTACCCCATATGGTACTTTCATATCCAATGTGC